CAAACAATTTAAATAATCATATTGATATGCCCACAATCAGTTATTTGTTTAAGCAATGTTTAAATTTCTAATTGGCCTATTGCATGATGAACAGACAGTAGTGTTTTAATATATAGGATATATAGGATAGGATAGAATGCTGACTAATAAATTTCTGTACCCAGGGTAATTTGAGAACTAAAACTTGAAGGCTTCGAAGTTGAATGAAAAATGTATATCGGATCAGGGCTTTAATTTTTATTACTATTAGCTAATTTTGAATCAAAAAATTTATATCTATTGAACTATATTGATTGGATTATACATATTTTATACTGACTAATTTAACATTATATCAGCTTCCTTTTCAGGATCCCAATTTTCCTCATCAACATTGCTCTCAGCATCATTAATTTGAACATTAACATTTTCCTCTTCAGAAGACTCGAAGTTAGTATCAAAAACTATTTCACCTAAGTCATTTGTAAAATCAGCTGCATCAAGATTCAACAATTCCTCAATTTTAAGCACTTCTTCTTCTGGAAACTCCACATCTTGTACTTCTTCACTGGCAGGTTGTTCTTCATCGTAATCATTATTATTACTAAGATTCATATTAGATAGTGCTTCATATAAATCTTCAGCACTATTGTTAGCGGAAAAATATGGTAATTCTTTTTTCAAATTTGCAAGATAAAAAGCAGAAAGCTTCTGCATATTTTCAATTTTACTTAAAGAAAGCCGTGTACGACGTTTGCCATAATACCACCCTAATGTTGACCAAATTCTTTCACATCTAGCTGCATGTGGTATTACAGAGAACAGTTTATTAGCTAATTGGCAAATATGATCCTCATTTTTTAAAAAGTTGTCTTCAAGAGAAGTCCACCATATCATAGGAGATTCATTATTATCGAAAGGTATATCAAATAGTGCAGTACAGTATCGATAACTTCTCATTTGTGACATTAACATTTTTTTTTCTTTTTGATTTTTACCCATTTTTTCATAGAAGTTATCTGCTGCAAGAAGAATACGTCGAAATGTTCCCCGTACCCATACTATATCTAAATTAATAAAGATTTATCAATAAATAAAATAGATTAAATTATAAACAAAATAAGTATACATTATT